ATGATGGTTCAGACAAACTATGTAAAGAATCTTCCCTGAAGCTCCATGACGTGTGGGGCGTGAAGAGCGTCTGGGTCGGTGCTGGACGGTGGTGTACCTTACCCTGAGAAGCTCCAAGTCGCTCCCCGCTCTGGGTTTGTGTGTCTCTTCCATTTGCCGTTCTTGAGTTTCATTCTCTGTAATAAACTGGTAATAGTAAGTAATGTCCTTTCCTGAGTTATGTGAGCTATTCTAGAAAATTACCAGATCTGAAGAAAGGAGAGCCTTTGACTTTTGGCAAAAAGACAAGGAGGCCCAGACTTGTAATTGTCATCTGAAGCGAGGAATATTTGTAGGATTGGGCTTTTAACCCTAAGGTCCACCCTGGGTAGTTAGTGTCAGAACCAAATTGAATCATTGGATACCCGTTGTGTCTAGAGAGGAACTGGCTGGTATTAGGGAGAGATCTCACATAGATGGCATGAGAAGTGTTCTATGTAAAAAGAGCTCCTGGTAGTAGGAATGACTGGCCAACCAACTAACATAGGCTAGCTGTAGGTATTAAATAGGGTGACCATATAACGTAGCATCTAGATCAGGTTATCATGTCCACTTTTGAGAGTCAAAGTGTTCCCATTTATAATTATGGACTTGTCTCAGGCAGACTGGGACATACATTCCCCTAAGATTTTAGTGGGCCCAATGCCTGTAATATGGAGCACAGTGCCTGGCACCCAGAAGAAATACCCAATAACTGTTAGCCTAGTGTTCTGTTACTATTATTGACTTTAATAGCAGTTTTATTATTTTTTACAATGTTTGATGTTTTCTCAAGCTCTTATCTTTTTCTAATAATAAAAGGTCACAAACAAAGGCCAAATATAAGCCAAATTCTCAATACCAAAAGAGCTAATATGGCTTCCAGAGATGCTTAATAAGATAAGAATTGATTAGCCAGTGAGAAAAATCTCATTTATATTCTTTGAATAATTTACCAATGAGTAGTTTACTTATAAGAGTGCTTTTTTGTATCAAGTTACAAAAACAAAAAGCAAGCTTACTTGTCAGGGTGAGAGGAGCATCTTTTGTTTATTCATAGGTCCATCCCACCATACCTGCATTTAGGCCTAGGTGGGATCCTTGGAGGCCCCTGACAGCTTCAGGAATTAATATGGGGAGTCCCTGGTTATTTAAAATACCCCCACAATTGCAGTACCCATTTATACATTGGGAAAATGAGATTCTGAAAATCAAAAAAATTACAAGGCTGCAACCAAACTCCTGGTTTTGTGATTTTTTCAACTCACAGAAAAATCAGTCTTTAAATTTCAGTACAGGAGAGTGAATAAAGAAAGATTAGAGTGATATCGAGGACAAAAAGGAAGCAAAGAGTTAGCAGTAACTAACACTCTCTTTTTCCACTGATTGAAATTTCCTTACGTTTTTGCTGTTTCTCTGACCTCTCTCTTTCATCCTTAGTGAGACCTCATGAAATCAGTCATTGAAAAAGTTTTCACATAAAAGTCTGCTGATGCTGATTTAGGACCATTAGAAGTTGTTTGGAGAGGGGTAGGCATTTCTTCTGCTTGGTGGCCCCCACACTGTTTTTTGTGGCTTCTCTGCACACACTGGTGATAACAATGACACAGCCCCCTCAACTGTGATACGTGTCTTAGGTCAGGTTATCATGTCCGTGTACCTTTAGGATGAAGTAAAGTATTCTTTCCAGCTCCTTGGGATTAAGCAATTCTCCAGAGCAAATGGGTCCTATTTTCATGGATTTGGGGCAGCCCAAACAGCCCTGGCTTGAAAGGTAGACTGTCACAGATATGTCGTTCTTGACTGTGAAAGCCCCAGCCTGACTCCCCTGGATAGCTTTAGAACTTGGAGCACAGCCCTCTGAAGGGTGCCTCTGTCAGGAACCTTCCTCATGGAGAATTTAATTCTGTAATTCTGTAATTCTGGTTTCTTTCTTTCTTTCTTTTTCTTTCTTTCTTTCTTTCTTTCTTTCTTTCTTTCTTTCTCTTTCTTCCTTTGTTGCTGTAAAAAAAAATTAAAGGCAAAATTATTTAATAAGCAGCCAGACCAATTTCTCTACCTACTGTCCCTTTTTGGAGAGGAGAGGGGCAAGTCATCCCCTTACTACAATGAGTAGTCTGAGGAAACAGAGTAAGTTTTCTAAATGTCAAGGAGGCGCCTGTCTGGAAGAGTCTCATAGCAGGGAAAGTGTCCTGTTCAGGCTTTTCTTGCTTCTTGGCAGAAATCTTCACTAAAAACTATGTGTTCTATGTGAAAGCACCAACCAGGAGTCTATTCCTCATTACTTGAAGGGGAAATCATAGTCCCAGAATGTCCTTCTTGTTACCGAAAACATAGCTACAATACAGAAAATGCCTTTAATTATCAGGTAGGAATTGGGGGGCCAATTTTTAAACTTACCCTATTTTCCTTGAATTCATCCTCTCCATCAGTATCCAGACAGTAGAACAAGTGTAACTTGGAAAAGGGCAACTTTAAGAGTTTCTACAACTGACACATGTTGGACAGAATGAAACTTTTCAGTACCCCTAAAAACATTTTATTTTCTTTTTTACCTCATTGACTCTTTGAAGTTTCCACAGAATGTATATTTATTTTATTGGGTCAAACAATATGATGTGGGTGTGTACAGAAAATATTAAATATCTATTTATCATTGTCCAGAACTTTTGATAACTATGCCTTATATTCTTATACAAAACTTTTCATAAAAGCTGTTCTTTCCCTCTTAATCTCCCTCTTCCTGCTACTCCTCCCCCTCCCCTATACTGGGGATTGAACCCAGGGCCTCACACATGCTAAGAAAGTCTACCACTGAGCTATATCCTGTTCTTTTTTCTTTTGAGATTTATGTTGCCCATTTGGACCTCAAGCTTGTAATCTTCCTGACTCAGCCTCCCTTGTAGCTGAGATTATAGAGCTGAACCACTGCACCCAAAATTTTTCTGTCTTTTTAAAGTAGCTTTTAAAAACAAACAAATAAATAACAGCATCACACCATACACATCAATCTGGAACTTGTTTTGTTAACCAGTATACTCTGGATATCCTTCATGGAATATAGATCCAGCTCATTTCTTATTTTTTTGTTTTTTGGTACTGGGACTCGAACTCAGGACCTTGTGCTTGCCAGGCAGGCTCTTGTGCCACTGAGCTACATCCCTGGCCCATCCAGCTCATTTCTTAAAAATAGGAGCGCCTTCCTTGGCATGAATGGAGTGTACTTTAACCTGCCGTCTTTATAGTATTGCTGTGGTGAGTGTCCTGCCCATCAGCAGTCAGCCATGTGGTCTTAAAAACATTACCTTCCAAGGGCACCCAGGTGTCCTTCTGGTGTCCCTCCCATCAGCCTGCTTTCTAAGGGTTCATTTCCAGTTCTCGCTCCCCTTCCAGCCCCTCCCTCGCACCTACCCTCTTCCTTCCACCCAGAACCAGCCTGGACACCAGCCGCAAAGCTTTCCCACGGTGCGGTCCCGGGACTTGCCTCTCCAGTCCTGTCTCCTCTGAGCTCTGATGACATAGTCCTCTGCCTGTGTCGCCCTCCTCCCTGCCCAACACCTGAGTGTTGCTGCTCCTTGGCTGTCCCACTCAGATTCCCCTCCCTCGAGTGCACATCCACGATGCCTGCCCGGCGCGTGCCTTCAGCCGGACCCTGCACGTTTAAGGGTGTATTGGCGGTCTCTGCTGGCCTGTGCCTCCCACACAGTGAATCCACACAGGCCAAGCCTGGCTCTTGGTACACCCTTCTCAAATCTGTTCTTCCCCTTTTCCGTTCTGAGGGGTGTGGGCACTGTGGGGGTTCTGGGCCCGGTGCAGGGTGGGGAGATTGGGAAGGGGCCGTGCCCTTCCCTCCTTCCTTCTCCCCTCTACTATTCCTCCACCGCCCCCAACACACACCTTCTGTTTCTTCTGTGGCCCCGGTAAATCCAGAACAAGGCCTGTGGGGGGAACAGGGAAAAGCCCTTGGGTATCGCTCCTGCTCCTACCCCAGCCCCACTCTTGGGCTTCACACCAGCTCTGCAGAGAAGTGGCCCAGGATTCATGGCGAGGGACAGTCTCTGAAGGGTCTTCGGGTGATGGGGAGACTCATCACCTCAAGCTTCCTTGTTAACAACAGTAAGCAGGAGGAGTCAAAGCGCCTGCTGTTGCGGGACAGGGCAGGAAGGGCAGGGGGCCCTGGAGGCCAGCTCTGCGGCCATCTCAGAGCCAGTGCATGGAATACAAGACCCCTTCATGTCTGCTCCCCAGAGGGGAAGTAGAACCCCACATCACTGACACAGGAATCCCCCCACCTGCCCCTCATAAACATAATTGCACAGAGTGGGTTGGTTCTGAGTATTGTACTTAAGGTCCACTATACATTAACTAGGCCATTACTACCATGTGTGAAATGGTTAACAAAAATATTTGTTAACCTTTAAGCAACAGATTTGTAAATAGAGGTTTGAAAATTCATGGTGTGCTGAGCACTGTATTAATGACTGTACCTATGCAACTGCATTTTATATTTCCAGCAGTATGAAGGAGGCAGGCAATTATATGGATGAGTAAACTGAGGTTTAAAGGTTAAGTAACTTCCCCAAGGTCATACAGATAGTCATGGCCCTGGGATTCTACACTTTTAACGGTCAACAGCAACTCTTTCTTAAGTTGGGGGTTACATATATTTGGACATCCCACGGCCTTTTTCAGCTCACTTTTTATCATTTTCTTTTCTTAGTATATATTTGTTTCTCCTTTCTGAAAGCACATTTTTCCTGAGCATTTCTCTGCTTTCTTAAGGTGAGTTGAAATGAAAGCATAGTTACATTGCTTTACAAGTGAGTTTGTGATAAATAATCACAGATACAATAAATATGAATAGCCGTTAGGACCCTGGGGAACACTCTCACAAATTGGATTAGCAATTGCATTTTGAATGTTGTTCATCTTCCTCTTTCCATCCCTTTCTGTCTAACACTCTGCTTGTTTCTGGCCAACAGGAAGAAGATTTCTCTCCCCACCCCAGCTGTCGTCAGCCTCTGGCTTCGGCATCTTCCCAGCCTGGAGAAAGCCATGCTGCATCTTCTTGCAAAGCTGACCTCCAGTGAGAGAACCTGTCTGAGAAGGATGGAATGCTTTATCAAAGACTCGTTGCTGGTACGTGCTGGACTTTGGTGGTGAGAAAAGGCCTGAAAAGAGATACTGAGAATCAGTTGTTTTCATTAAGGGCGAAAAAAGGGGTTGGGATACAGACAAAAGAGGACTAGGACCTTAAAAATAATCATGTTTGCATTTTATTTTGAAAATACCTCAGCCGGGGAATATAGTTCAGGGGCATAAGTGTTTGCCTGGCAAGCCTGAGGTCATGAGTTCGATTCCTGGTACCAAAAAAGAAAAAATACCTAACGTAGTGGCTTTTCTACATACTTGGCACATGTGGGGAGAGGTTTGAGATTTGCCTGACTCTTGCGCCTTGTGTCACATATTTGGACAACAGCCTTTGAGCGGGTAAGTTCCCCAAAGGAATGCTGTATTGGCGGGTTACCCGAGGCTCACTTTAAGATGGTGCATCAGTTACTTAGAGCTGGCTTCTCACTGCTGGCAGCTCCAGTGCGGGAGAGGGGGCTGAGCGCTGCTGGCCTGTGTCTTTGCCAAGCACAGGGTGTGGCCCCCAGCGGTGCTGGAAGAAGCCAGGGCACAAGGTTTTAAGAATATTTCTTATTTCAACACAAGGGGTACATTTTTAAGACTGAAGATCTGACAGATGAGGGAGAGCGACGATCCGTTAACAAAAACATGCACAACATAAACTCAGCTTTTCATGAGAAAAAATAAAATATTTAAGAGAAACAAAACAAAACCCAGAAAAATGGTAAAGCAACAAAAACAGCTAAGAGGGGGAGGGCTGTGAGCCTTGCGACCTCCCCTCACAGTGGCTCCAGTCTCCCTTCCCCTCAGCTCTGTGAGGTGAGGACTTGGCCGTCACTTAGGCCGCTCGGCCTCATCCGCGCCGGGCTATCCGGCAGGGTCAAGGCAGGGCCAGTCGAGGAGTTGCCCTTCTGTGGGAGGCAGCTCTGTGGAGGCGGCACTCGTTTTTGTAGAAGCAGGAGCAAACAGCATTGCGGCCGGAAAAAATATCTTTAAATTACACATCAAACTGAGTGACCAGGGTGGCTCTGTTCCCCCAATACCTGGTGATGGTTTCACCTCATAGGTTATTTCCTCCGAAGGGGGTAGGTGGGTCCTTTTATCCTTTAATCAAATGACAAGCCAGATAAGGCAAAGATAGTTCCCAAATGAGCTGGTTTATTGAAAGATACACAAAACCAGAATAAATAAAAGTAAGCAAAAAGAATATTATAAGAATAGGTCCAAAAAAAAAGCTGAGCGTGTGGTACATGCCTGTGATCTTAGCTACTCCAGAGGCTGAAGCAGGAGGATCACCTGAGCCCAGGAATTCAAGGCCAGCTTGCACAACACAGCAAGACCTTGCCAACTCTCTTTCCCCCTAAAAAAGTGAAACAAAATTAGTCTAACATAGAGTACTAGTAATGACCCAAACACTGTGTACTCGTGGAAGAAGTGTCCAGGTGGCCTGGGAGACCCATTGCTTCAAGGCAGCACTGGGACAGGTCCACATTCCCTTCATTGCCTTGGCGGTAAAGTAGCTTTACTCATTAACTCAGGCAGGGGCTCCAGCTGCCACTTCCTTACAGAGTGGAAACTGGCAGGGGATGCTTCCCCAGTGGCAGCCCATGAGTGTGAGTATTTACATGCCCACAGGCATTTTAGCTCAGCTTCTAGGAGGAAGTATGGAGAGAAGGGTCCCGGACACCGGCCATCTTGCTTGTATATCCATGCACGGCCACCAGTGCAGCTCTCAGCCAGCCTCTGGGTTCCCGCACAACCTGTGCTGCAACAGAAAGCCCAGAATGGATCTGGTGCTACCAAAGCTTGGTTACATTAATCACCATTAAAATAGTAGTTTAGTTAGATTCAGAAGAAGCCTAACACGGCCAAACACTCCATACTGCAGGTGCCACGGTGCCGGGAATCTCTCCCCCAGGTTCCTCAATAGACTGCACCATGTCTTCCGGTTTGCTTTGGTCACCCTTATGCAGTCGGCACAGAGGAGTCTTCTCATAGTAAAGATGGGAACGGTGAGCTCAGGAGCAGTGCTGCCCAGCCTGCTCTCACACTGGCGACCAGAAGCCTGGGAAGGGGGTGCCCACCCGGCCAGTAGTCAAGGCTGAGGAAGGCACTGGCTGGCTTGGCCACTCGGCCCCGGGTTCACACAGCCACCTCCCAGACACCTCTGTTTGCTGATTCTGCTGGAGCCTCCTGCTTCTTCTTAAGTGAAAGCTGCACATGGAACCACAACGGAGCCGCTCGCCTCTCTGTCGGTTTCTTGCCGCCTGGGCCTGCTTATCTTGCATGTCACGGCCCCTCTCTGCCTCTGTGGCCAGGCCTCCCTGGCAGGGCTGGAGAGCCACAGTGTCGGGGGTAGCCAGTGCTTCACCTGCACTGACGGGCACCTGATGGTGGCCCAGACCGGACCCAAGTGACTTGCAGGTTTGGTGTTGGATAGGCAAAGTAGAAGGAAGATAGGTATATGTTAGGACTGTGAGAGCCTAAAGGGGGTATTTTTTATGGATATTTACTGCTTGACATCACCACTGTTAGGAGTTGCATATTGAGGCAAGAAGTAAGAATGTACCTTATTTAAAAATTATTACAACATAATTCAAAATAAAAACGTTGGAAGCTTTTCTGATAGCCCTTTGCAAGATTATTGAAGGCAATAAATTTCCTCTGGTAAATTTTGTTGAATCTTAAGTGTTTGCAGTATAATTTACTTTTTCCCTGACAGTTTTTCAGTGGTAAAATAGAGTAACTGGGCTGTTTGCTTCCAGGGTGTGCTCAGTAGATTTTCTTTAAATCTCTCAGTGGGAAACTTCAGTCCTGCTGACTTTTCTGCTACCTTTCATGGATCCCTGTGGTTTTCTCTGGACCTTCTCCACCTCCTTTTTACCGGAGGACCTCAAACCTGAGCAGCACTTCCAAGCAGCACAGCTGATGAGAAGAAGAAAGCAGGAAAAAAAAGAGAGTGAGAAAAAGAAAGCAGGCCCTCTCCTCAGACATCATGTCTTTCGGTCTCCAGTCTCCATAACCTCCTCTCCATCAAATAGCCTCGAAGGCAGTTTATTTTCCCAAAGCATTTATCAGGAGCATGTGTGTAGAGATTTGGAGCTTTTATTATGGTTAAAGGGGGATTCTAGAGGGTGTTATTTGGTTTAATTTATTGTGACATTGACAGGATGTGACCTCTCTGTGCCTCTTGTTTCGAGGAGGTAATTACAGCGATGACTGGAAGCCCCCAGTTGGCGTGGGCTCTACTCCTCCAGCACCCAGGGTCTGCAGTGCAGAGAGCCAGGCAGGCTGAGTGATTGCAGGGTAACCTGAAGAACCTGCTTCCTAATTGCATCATCTGATTCATTTATCGCAGTGCAGCATCTCGGTGCAGTGACAGCCCTGTACAGAAGTATCAGAGAGATCTGTCAGGCCCAGCACAAGACCACTGTGCTTTGCTGCAGAGGGAATCTGATGCCTATTACATTAGAGTCGGATTCTGAGAGCAATTAAAGTGTGATGGTCTACATAACTTGTGTTTTATATGGAACACTGTTAATTATATTTCCATCTCTTGGGACTATCCAGAATGAGTCCTGGAAATTCTGTAGTTATCAAAACGTAGCAAAAACAAAAGATAAAAGTATTATACAAAGGGAAATGACCTCTCCAAATGTTCCTTGGCCTTTCAGAGACTTCGGGGGCCTGGTATTTTCCATTAAGACTGTGGCAATAAGAGACCAGTCTAGTGTCACCTGAATTCTAAATGCATATATGTTTATTCTAAAATTTTAAACGTCTCAAATATGTTTTCAAAACCTGTCTACTTTTAAAGTTCAACCTTTGGCTTCCATGGGCTGGACTGCCCTCAAATACATGGCTGCCTGCCACGGTTGGTGTCCCCCAAATAAATTGAGGTATTAACCCCAGTTTGTCATTTGCTGTGCAGATGGAAATGTCTCAAAAACAGATGGTTCTGTGTTTCCCCTGACAGCACAGGCACCGGAGGACCATAATCCGCAGCCTCAGGCCTGACCTTACAGACTGATGTCACTGAAAGCAGCGAAAGCCATTTGCTAATTATGCAACTTTCTTGGCACCAGTCGATTTCCCAAGGGAGGCCCTGCATCAGAAGGATGCTATGTTTTCCTGTTACAATTCTGTTTGCAGAGCCCAGAAAGCTATTGTTTGGAGTCCACATTTGAATGAGAAGGGCTGGCTGGGTGGCAGGATGGCCCTGGACTTGGCTGCGGTGCTGTGCTGTGTGCCAGGCTGGGGCTCCCTGGTTCCCACGCCCTCCCTCACGCCTTGGTGGGCTGAACCCACCCGCCCGCTGCAGCCACCACAGCTGATGGACAGCTCCCCGAGGCCCATCTGCCCTGCTAAGGGAGAAGAGCACAAGGGAGGAGGGCCAGGCCAGTGCAAGGTGCCAAGGGTACAAGGTTGGGTTTGTTTTTGCTTTATCCAGATTTTAAATCAGAGGGTATTTGTGGATTCTCCTACTTAAAAAGTCTTAATACTGCAATAAAAAGGTTTTTATCCTCTAATAAGAACTGAAAAGCATCTAGATAGCTCAGCATACTCCTTAGCACAAGCTAGAAGGCATCCTTTTCCCTGTTCTCCAGATAACAATCATAACCACTTCAAAAGGAAAAAAAAAACTCTCCACAAAATCCCTGGGTACAGTTCTCATTCTGTAGAGCTAACTCCAATCCTGGATGGTGTCAGCAATTTCTGTGTATGAATAGCTTTTCACTTATGTTCTAGGACTTTCTTTTGCCATTTGTCATTAGCAGTCTTCTTAACATTTCCTTTCCGTGCTCTTTAATGTGATGCATGTAATTTAACATAAGTGGAAGTGGATGATTTAGCAGTGGTCAAACAGGAAAGTGGCTGAAAGCTGCAGGATCTGCAGCTCCCACAGCAGCTTCACTTTCCAGTGTCCACCTCCGGAGGGCAGCAGATGCCCCAGCGCTGTCTCTGCAGAAAATCAGATTGCAAGACAGGTTTTTGCTGTTGAGGATGCAGGACTTTGCAGCCAATCAGAGATTGGGTGGGGGTGGGAGTGGGCAGAAAATAAGCAGACAAAACCCAAGTGATAGTAGAGGTGGAGAGTCATTGCCACCCAGAGGCTAAGCTGAGCAGTAGTGGGGGCTGAGGAGCTTCCTTCTGCTCCTGCTCAACAAGTGAAAAGGGTAGAAGCCTTGGGTCAGGACAGGGACCAGACTGGGGGGTGGTGGGTGTCTTGTCCAGCATCAGAGCTGGGCACCCACCATGTGAACCCCTGACTCCTGTGTCCTAACACCCAGACAGTGTGCGCAAATTTAAAACACAATAGTACATTTGGTACTTGTTAAGATTTTAAGCCCAGGAATGACAGATTTATCACTAATTAAACAATAATTGCATTACAGAGCACTGAAAAAAAATTGCTTGTAATGTAAACAACATCTGGTAAAGATTAAAAGGAACAATAATTCTTCCAAGCTCAAATTCATTGCAAGAAGCTTTAATGTCTTAAAACAAAATAGATCCTAAAACGTAAGAGGGATATTTACAGTTTTGCATTTAGCATTTTGAAAACAGAAAGTAAGAAAATGGTATAATCAAAAATACATATTTATAAAGAGGCTTTATTTTACATGGTACACATGAAGGATTTCTAATACGTAGGTTTAAAAAAATAAATCATTTAACTCAATAGGGGAGTTTACTGTTATGGTGGGTCTTTTTTTTTTTTTTTAATTTTGAGACAGGATCTTGCTATGCAGTCCAACTCAGCCTCCCAAGGGCTGGGATTATAGGCGTGCACACCATGCCCAGATTGTTGAGGTGGATCTGAAGAAGACTCTTCATTAAACAGAATTTTTGTGGTGACTAGAGTCACCTTTTAATTTATACACATACACTAACAAGGAGGGCTTCCCTTTGGCAGAACGGTGGTGTGGGAGACTTGGTTGAACACAGGGCAGGGTGGCCTGGCTAGTGGGTAAATTGGAGGGAAAGCCTCAACTGATTTTTTCCAAAGGACTATTTCCTGCATAGACAATTAAAATAGGCCATAAAAAGAGAATTGACTCCAAGCTTTCTGAACTTCATCATTTTCTCACTCATCTGCCTCTTCTGTCTTCATCATAAAGGGAAAAAAAGTCTATGAAGTTTCAGGTGAAGAAGTCTTCAGGATTTCCTTTTGTCCTCTTTTCCTTTTCCTAGCTTTTGAATATTCTCCTCCCCACACATACACACAATCAGAAGACTGTAGAAAATAAGAACTACTTGTTTCCGAAAATTTTCTGTACTCTCACGCCTTCCCCTGGGTACCAGTGACTGAGCCTAGGATCTTGCACATATTAAGCAAATACTCTACCACTGAGCTACATTCCGAGCTTCTTTTTTTTTTAATATTTGAAGTAGGGTCTAATTTAGTTGCCCAAACTGGCCTTGAATTTGCAATCCTCCTGCCTTGGGCTCCTGAGTAGTTGGGATTAGCCTGGCTCCAAGGCCTCTGGCAAGTGGCAAGTGGCGTGTGAGAACCACTGATGAGTTAGGATGAAAATGGCAGATTAAACAAACATCAGGGCCCAAGCTGAAGAATCAGTGCTATTATACAGTTCATGCTACAGAATGGCAAGCTGGCCTCGCCTTCAACTCTTCCCCCAAACACATGAAGGGCTGACGTTATTGTACATTTCCTCTGCATTGATCTTGTCTTCCCTGGTTCTGCTGAGGGATGGGAATGGTCTGTTTTTCTAGGCAGAGAGGGATAAACATTGCAGTTCTGGGTACCTGTGGTAGCTAATTGGCAGCTGGTAGGTAGACTGGAGGGGAAGTGTCTTAGCCACAGAATATGCACGCTCTACAGAACAGCCAGGTCCCGAGGAAAGAAGGCTAAGAGCAGCTCTCCATCGTAGTCATCTGTTTGCCTTCCCATGTTTAGGGAACTAGGGGCAGGAAGAACAAAGCACAGCTTATCGTTGGACTCCTGGTGACATAGTTTCCCTATACTTGAAACGATCTACATGAGAATCATTAGGCCAGATGGAGAGGAAGAGAGAGCTTTAGAAGGAAGATGTTTGGTGGGATGGAGAAAAACAGATGAGCAGATGAAGTCAAAAAAGCTGTTGTTCTATTTTCGTAGGAAAGATCCTCATGCAGATGATGAGCTTCAGAACTGGGGTCCAGCCTTGGGTTGCAGAGTGACTGTGGTGTGTTGCCAGAGTGTCCCACTAGACAAAACAGGATACAGAGAAGTTAAAGGTTTACCTTGTCGCTCACAGGGAGACTTAGGGGGAGCTATGGCTTCCAGAGAAGCACATATGTGTAGTTTTGTTTGGAAGATTTTGTTGCTAAGAAAGGCAGCTTAAGTGGGTTTGTGTGATTTGATGTCACAGGGACACAGCCTCACCTGGGAGCACTCTGGTCCTCGTGAGGAGCTCACTGACTCTGAAATTACTTGCTCAGGAAGTAAAGTCTCATTTTTAAAAACTGCCACGAAAGCATGCAGATGGCAGAGGACAGCCTGGATATCCCGGTCTCTTCCCTAATATAAAAGCAAAGACAGGTTGTGGTACCAGGCTGACAGTAACCAATGGTCTGAAATATTTGGAAAGAATGAAATCTAAGTGGAGAGTCCATCTGTATGAGGAGAACAGGCAGATTCTGCACAGACTGGAGACATCTGAAGCATGGGATTGAGCTGTTCTGCGGGAAAACACCGTAAGAGAAAAGTGTGTCCCGGCTCTCATTCCATCCTGAAAGCATAAGAACTGTTGTGCTTCCTTCCCCCTGTGCTGCTTATGGCAGCCCCAGCCTGCCTCTTGGGTCATCCTTGCCTTTGCTGTTTAAAGTGACTCTCGGTAGCATCAAACCTGCAAAGCGGCTCTAGGGTACTTAGGCCATTTAGAGTTATTTTATTATATCATTTCCAATTCCAGTCTTATTTCCTATCCCTGTGTTTTCAGGCTCTGAGTGTCGGTCTGCCTGTGGGCACACAGCACTGCTGTTGGAAATTAAACACTCTTCTAGAGAAATTTGGAAAAATTGAGTTCTAGCAAACTTAGTTGAATCATATTTCTTTAAGACTTACAGTATTCTTTTCCCTTGTTTGATTTTTTTCCCATTATGAAAACATTGAAACTTTTATGATATTTTCTGGGCATGTATCCAGTAACCTCTTAATAACTGTTATTATTTACAGGGAGGATTAGAAGCAAAAAGATTAACTGACTGGCTGAGATCAAAGCCAAGAAGTGACCTGCCTTTGCTCTGCTGAGTTACTTTTTTAAGTAGATAATACATTTATCTGCGAGAATTTCAAGTTGGTTTCTTTCAGATAAAAAAATGCACGCCAGTGGAGGATTAGAGATCACGGATCACTTTATTAAAGAGTCAAATATTTAATCTTGCAAATTACAAGTCTCTGTCCTTCAAATAAGAAAGCCATCACCCCGTCATTTGTACAAGGAGTGATGCTCTTACCTGGAGCCTTCTGTGGCCTGTAGTGGCGGCCTGCAGACGCTAGATGGCGCGCACTCAATGTCACAAGTTGTGATGCCAGGTCCGAAGAACAAAAGAGCAGGAAATCCCAGGGGTGGCACCGTGCTTTATTCAGGAACGTCCAGAAAGCTGTAGAGGAGGACATGCCCTGTCTTCTTTTTTCTTGTTGATGGAAACTATAAAAGATGTTTCACGAAGCTATATCAAGTGTGATATAATTGAAGACATTCCCTTCAGAGCCTAACCCACTAACTTTTGGATGGTACCGTAAAATATCTGTCTTATGACACATGGGCACCTGCATCAGATCTTGCTGTGAACTCTGCCGAAAAAATATGAAACTTGTTTAGGCCCATTGAGGCCCCTACCTGGGTCACAGGAGGCCAGCTTCTGTAGTTTACAAAAGTAGTCTAAGAATGAGCTAGATACCTTTCATCACTCAGGATGTTATCATTTGTTCTTTCATGAATCCTCTTCATACTAAACAACTGAAGCTGCTAAATTAATCGTATAATAATATTGTTATTTAGTCCAGAATGGAAGGGGTTACTGGGTTCCTCAACAAAATAATTCTGAATGATTATGGACTCAGTGACAAATAACTAGGAACAAAAAGCAGACTGAGACCCGACTTTGAGACACTTCCAGGCCACTTGAGGAAGTCAGACACAGGGGCGCACTTAAGGAAAAGTAGTAACACAAGTAGCTTCTGTGTTCACTCTGGTGTACTGTAGAAAAATTGGCCATTTTTTTCTGGATAATATGGATTTATTATGAAAAATGTGGGCCATCCAAGAGTAGAAAGAGAACCTGCACAATAGAAAGAGTTTATCTGCACACTGTCATGCTAATTATTCTTTTTCTTGCCCAAAGAGATATGCCCACTCTCCATGTGGCAGTCCCGCATAATTTATCTGCCTGATAATTCCAAGTTCTTACGGTACATCTTTAATGGTTCACTTTCTTATGGTCTTTCTGTTTTACAGCCTCAGGCAGCCTGCCACCCCGCCATATTCAGAGCTGTTGATGAAATGTTCAGGTAAATATTATGCTGTTTTTGCTAGTAGTTGATACAAAAATGCTCAGCTTCCAAACATGAATTAAAAAATCGATAGTAGCCTCTGGCTGTACCATGGAGAAGTTAAATTTTTTATTTCTTCTTATTTCACTGAGCTTTTTGTTAATTAGAAGTAGAAAATCAAATCAATATATATTTAAAAGCATATGCCTAAGGATTAAGATGACTTTTTTCTTTAACCTTTTAAAATTCTAATAATAATGCATAAAAGCAGAGTTGGTTTACATTTTTGTCATGAAATAGGATTTTTCTCAGTTCAAAATAAAGCGTAGCAATATACTCCCTTCACCACATGAGGGCTGACCAATCTTTGTAAAGGATTCTTAAGCTAAAGAAGCTAAGAAAAAGAAACACAAAGCCATTCTTAACAGCGTTCTTCTGAAAAGCAGAGTAAACCATGCATGTTATCTTACAGTGTGTTAGTATTTGTTTTGACAACGTGAGTCCTTCCTGGGAGTGTGTTGGATTCACAGTAGGTAAGAGGCAAGATGGTCCCTGCACACTAGTATAGGTTGTGGCCAGCAGTTCCTGGGAGTGTCAGCCATGGAGTCCTAATACAGATCCCTTAGGGGAGCTTGTCACCGAAGAATGTTCAAAGCCTCTCGGCACTAGGCATCTGGGTGGGGCCCTGTCCGCACCCTGCCCAACCTATCCACAGCAGGTCTAGGGAAAGGAATTTGTATGACAAGGAATGACTCACCACGTGGGATCTTCTTGAAACCAACCCTAAGCCATTTGTAAAGGACCACAGAAATAAGAAGGCAGGAATGTGTTTCTAAGTGAAAGCTAGCCAAGTTTGAGTTGGCTTTTTATACTTAAACAAACATAAAGAAAAGTTAATTATATGAAAATGCATGGAAACCAAGCCAGGTATTCAGAATACACCTTTATTCTCCAGCTTTTTGCTAATGGGTTTGACTGAGCCGTTTTACCCTTTCAGGCAGCTCTGTCACTTCTTACAAAAGCAAAATGTATGCCAATGTCAAGTGTCCTGGCCTGTAGTGCGCAGAGGCTATGAAAAGTGTGCAGGCCGATGTCAAGGGCCACACAGTGCTTAATGATTCAAGAACAGAAAGACAGAGAGCTCTAAGCTCTACCCTGCAACTTAAAATACTTAGGAAGGGAGTAACCAGTTCCTTCTGCCTTGACTGCTGAAGGTTAAGGCATAAAAAGTGGCTCCATTCTTCCTTTCCTTCCTGTTCGGGTTGGTGGGTTTGCTGTCTTAATCATTCACTGTGTTTTCTGGCATTGTTCAGGTACGCGCTCCTGGAAACTGACGGAGCCCCAGAAGTACTAGCCGCTACACAGATGTTTACACGCTGCTTTGTAGAAGCTCTGGAAAAAGAAAACAAGCAGGTTTGTTATATTGCGTATATTACTCATTAACCCCAGGGAAAAAGAGGCTGCTAAGAGTATTTGGCTAATCACCTGAAAGTAACACTTTATTTTCAGAAATCTTGTTTAGTTGGTTATTCGGTTTGTTTTCATGGTCCTGGGGACTATACCTAGGGTATTGTGCATGCTAGGCACATACTGTCACTGACCTACAGCCCTAGCCCTGTGTTTAGAAATTTTAGCTGGGTGTGGTGGCGCACACCTATAATCCTAGCACTCAGGAGGCTGAGACAGGAGGATTGTTGCGAGTTCAAGACCAGCCTGGGCTACCAAGTGAGCTCAAGGCCAGCCTGAACTGCATAGTGAGCCCCTGTCTCAAAAAGACAAAAACAAAAAAAAATTTTTTTTTTGAGAGACTGCTTTGTTCAAAAAGAAAGCTTCCAAATGAATGTCCTAGCAAAGATAAAACCATTTCAACTAAAAATGAATCAGGGTTTTTCCTGTCTGCCCTGGGCCCAGTGCTTAGAAGCTCCCATCTGCTGCTGTATTTGAGTTCTGTTTTGCCAGTAGGTACCGTACCTCAAGCTGATTCTCCTGCCTTGTGTTACACACAAGGTCCCTCTGGCTACAGCTCAGCCTCAGCCAGCGAGAGGCATGCTGCAGCCCAACTGGGATGTGCTGTGGGAGATGCTGCTTACCACAAAGCAGGACTGACCCTTCTCGGTGCTTAGCATCTCCATTCCCGTCAGAGGCCCAACCTGAGTGGACTGAGGAGAGAAGGGAGATGGGTGAACAAGGACAGGGACATATCTGGTCGCTGTCGATGAGGAGCAGGAGCAGAAGGACCAGGCAGTGGGTCACATGCCATCGGTGAGGCAGATATCCCTTCTTAGTCACTTTCTTGTTGCTGGGACAAAATGTGTACAAACACCTATCACTTAAAGGAAGACAGTTGTATTTTGGTTCATGGGTTCATTCCATGGGTTCATTCCGACTTCAAGGCAGGAACAGGGTGGCAGTGGGGCATGGCAGAGGACAAGGGGCTTCATCCTGTGAGAGCCAGGGTGCAAAGAGAGAAGGGAGAAGCCAGGGACAACAATATACTCTTCTAGACCACGCCCGCAGTGGCTACCTCCGACCAGGCCCCACCTCCCAGCAGCACATTCAGGTAAGAACTTATCACTGGATGAACCCACTGATGAGGAAAGCACCCCACGATCCAGTCACCTTCCACACAGGTTGAGTGACATGCTAGGTCTAAAGCACAAGAGGACTCCAGGGCCCTCTTAGCAGATGCTGCAGCAGATGCCAAAGGCCATTTACTGAGTGACCGCGTGAAACAGGAACTTTTCTACCAGAGAGCTCTCACCTTTGGACACTGTCATTGGCCTTGGTGTCTCAGGATCACAGGCAGTGCTTGGGCAGCAGTTTGCCTGTTCAGAGTGGCCCTAGGCCCATGTCCTCCCTGGGCAGAATGGCATGCTCGCTTATGATGCCCTCTGCAACTTGATCTATGAGGGCAGAGGTGTGAGGTGGGGCCCTACTGAAAGCCCACACACCCTAAGCTGAAGAAACTGCTCAGGTTTTAGCAGATGTTTCTGCTTTCTAAGGCAGTGATAAATATTTATGATTGATTTTTCCCATCCCTCTTTCCCTGGGAAGTCAGCTAGACTGTAGCGAGCAGCGTTATCAGTGGTACGGAGCCTGGGGTTTGGGAGGAGACGTGGCTGAAAGGCACTGGCTGGCTCTCACTATTATTTGGCAGCATAACTACAAATATTTTTGTCCTCCCTCATACATTCTTAAATTCCCGACTGGGAACTGTGCTCCAGCAAACCTGGGACTCCTGGGACACACTCAGGTTGGGCAGCGGCTACGTGGAAAGCAGTTTCGCTCTTCAGCCTTCGCCCGCGCCTCTCGGTCCCCTCCGCTTTGCTGAGTCTGTGCTGCCCTTGGGTGCAGTGGACTGGGATGGGAGCTGCAGTTGCGTTTCCTGTAGAACAGGATCCTGACCTGGCCGCATGAGTGTAGGGCCATGGGGATCACACTGGGCCCCAGGGCGAGCCAGGGCAGGGCCAAAAAAAACAAGAATCAGTCACCCTCACCTTTGTCTCAAAATAAGAGTGTTATGGGATATCTAAATGTCCCCCAGTGCCTCATGTGGTCATAGGTGGAACTTTTTAGAGGTGGCAGAATCTAGAGTGTGTGATGCTGGGACTGATTCATTGTGATGCTAGGATTAAGGGTGCCGCACCCTGGGTATTGGTGGGACGCGCATGAAGGGACAGAATATAAGGGACAGAAAGAGGGCTGCTGCTGTCACTGCTGGTCGCTTGTTGCTTTTGCTGCCTCTCGCCTTCTGCCATAAACTGTTTTTTCTCCTCTGTGATGCCCCTCTGCCATGCCACCCTGCCAGCCAATTATGGCCTGAAACCTCTACAAGTTGTAAAATAAACCTCTCCTCCTGTAGGTATTGGGTACTTTGTCTCAGCAACGAGAAAAGTAACAGAGATCAATGACACCTTCCCTTTGCAGAGGCTCTCATACACCCAGCCTTCCCTTCTTCCTGGGTCCGCTGCTACCTGCCTGCATTTCCCACTGATGGCACGTCTCCTCCACAAGCCCTGCCCCTCCGAGAGTCCACCTTAGATTGCTCATAGTCCTGAAGCCTGAGTCCTGTCACACTTGGTCCAAGCCCGACTCTCTTTTCTTTCTGAGCTTCAGTCATTAAACCCATGTTCTGTTCATTTTTGGTTGTTTCTGTACTTTGTAAAGCAGAGCAGCGCACCGTGTGCACAGTGGATCTGGGTGGGGGCATTTGGGATTTTGTTTACTATTACCAGCATCACTGCTCTGGACAGTCTGGGAGATCTTAGGATCAGGAGCGTCTGCCAGGTGGGTCCTGAAGGTGGGGTACCTGCGTCCACTCCCAGCAGCAGTTCACGAGAGGCAGCAGTAATCCACATTATTTCCTGTGGCTCAAAATGCTGCCCCACTGCTTCTCATTCTCCTTCTAGCCTTTCCTCTCACCCGTCCATCGCCCCTTGGGACGGTGAGCAAGAGGTGCAGGTGGCAGAGAAGCCACCCTTGTGAGCTTGGAGGAGCCCTCGGAACAAGGAGCCCTTAAGGTCAGGTTCAAGTCCCAGCAGTGGTAGAGTCAGACCATGGACTAGACTAGATTTCCCACAGATAAAGACTGTAAATGCGGGGCAGAATATTTTTAAAATCTATTGCAAAACACTAGAAGGGGCCTGCCAACGTAGACAGACACAAGAGAGGCTTCATCCCTTGAAAGGGACACAGCTGGAGCAAGCTCCTGCTTCTCCCGATTGTATGTGTGTGTGTGTGTGTGTGTGTGTGTGTGTGTGTGTGTGTGTTTTGCACACAGTGAGGGTGGCCAGGCTTGATCCCATTGACCGAGCGGAAAGACAGCTGTGGGCTGCCAGAGGGTAGGAGAAACAGCTGGGACAAAAGAAAGCTGTACAATGAGATGGACCTAAACTCAGACATAGCAAAAAGTGTATTCATTATAAAAAATAAATGAAAATTAACCAGGTATTCTAGAAAGAAAGGCAGAGATATCAGATTGAAATTTTTAAAAAAACACTACATGCTTTCTAGTAGCCTGTTCTAATGATAAAGGTACAGATAAATAGAAAGGAAAAGGAAGGAAAAAGATATAAATAGCAATCAAACATTAATGGTAAATCGTAAAGTAATCAAATAGTAGTCATAGGAAAACAACGTTGTTCCCACCTATTGACAGCACATGGAGCCAACTTCTAGTCGAGGAGTGTACCAGAGAGAAATAGGGAGATTTCCTAATAACAGAAATATCCATTCATCAAGGGCAGTACCAGTTATAAATGGACACGTACCTGGTAACAGACTATCGGAATACATGAACAAAAGCTATCAAGTAAAGGAAGAAATAGATCCATAGTCACACATAAAATACTTAGGAATATAACAAAAGATACATGTATATATTTTCTAACTAAAAACTGCAAAGCATTGCTGAGAGCAACTAAAGCCAAGTTTAAAGAAAGCAAAACTGCTCATGAACTGTTAAGGTGCCTGTTCTCCAGGCCAGTTGCTTTAGTACAATCCACTTGGTCCCAGCAGGCATTCCGAAATGGAAATTGAAAGCTGGCTGTGGTGGTGCACACCTGTAATGACATACTCTTGAGAGGCTAGGGCAAGAAATTCACAAGTTCAAACTCAGCCTGGGCAATTTCATAAGACACTGTCTCAAAATAAAGGGCTAGAGATGTAGCTCAGTTCAAAGGCCCTGGGTTCAACCCCCAGTACCCCACCTCCCAAAAAAGAAGAAACTGACAAGCAGGTTCTAAAACTCAGACAGAGTCACCGTCAGTGGGAGTAGAGGCTGGTACAACCACTGTGGAAATAAGTATGGAGATTCCTCAAAAAACTAGGATTAGAGGTCCCATTCAACCCAGCTATTCCCCTTCTGGGTGTCTTCCCAGAAGAACTGAAAGCATCATACCACAGCGATATATGTGCCTCCATGTTTCTAGCAGCACAATTTGTCATAGCTAAATCTTGGAAACCACCCAGATGCCCATCAACCAAGGGATGGATTAAAAAGATGTGGTCGTTTTATACAATAGAGTACTACTTAGCCATAAAACATTATAATCTTGAGACATTTATAGGTAAATGGATGCAATTAGAGACCATACTCACAAGTGAAATAAATCAGACTCACATGTGTAAACATCATATTATCTCCCTGGTATGAGAAACTGAAAGAGTAAATCAGGACCAAAATGTATAATAGATATTGTGAAATGGGAAGAAATTATTCAAAAGGAAAGAGGAACTAGGGTGGGGGAAAGTAGAAAGGAATGGAAAAGGAAAAATAATACAAATAGTTATGCTACTAATTTCTGTTAATTCATTGAAAAGGAAGGTTTGTGTTCATATCATTTGGAGAATCTTTATGCCCCTATCTTGTACTCTGAATAACTACTTTGAAGATAACAATATTGAGTGTATTAACTATTATTACTCTGTGATTATTTTGTTATGAAATTTTATTTTTTTCCATAAACTAAAGAAAAAATAAAACTTACACGGAAAGGCAAAGGATGTACCATAGCCTGAACAGTTTTGAAAAACAAAAGTAAAACAAAATCAGAGCACCTGATTTTAAGACTTAAAGCTACAATAATCAAGATAGTATTGGCAAAACAACAGACACAGGTCAGAGCAGTCCTGATACAGACTTACGTGGGCAGTCAGCTGACTTTTGACAGGGGCACCAGGGCAATTCAAAGGGGGAAAAGGGAGTTTCCCCTCCTGTTCAGAGCTGGAGCAACTAGATATCCATGTGGGAAACGATGAACTTCCATCTCTGCCTCAGAGATCACACAGAAACTGACCTGAGGGGGGCCATGGGCTTCAACCTAAATATTAAACCTATAGTGATTCCAGGAGACTGCACAGTAGAATGTCTTTACTGATGTTGGAGTAATCCAGCATTTTTTTTTTTTTTTTTTGAAGAGATACAGTAAAAGAAGCATTGGCCATTCAAGAAAAATGGATAAACTTAGACTTCAGTACAATTTAAAACATTTATTCTTTGATGGGTATCACTTAAGAAAATGAACAAGCAAGCCACAGGTGGAAATATTCACAGCATGTACGTGCGGTAGAGGACTGTGTCCAGAACATAGGACGAACTTCTATGGCTTCCTGGCAGCCTAATTTTTAAAAATGGACAAAAGACAGGAATTGGCAGTATAAACACATGAAAATGATTCAGCATCATTTGCTTCCAGGAAAATGCACAGTAAAGCGGCCATAGAGCAGGTGTAGGTGGAGTAACATTTCACACTCACAGAAAGGAGAACGAACAGGCTTGGCAACACTGAGGCTGGTGAGTATGGGGAGCAACTAGCCGCGCACATGCTGTTGCTGGACGTGTGAAATGCTGCGGCCACGGGAAGACCATGTGCCACGTAAGCAGGCGCCAGCGCGGTGACGCAGTAGTTCCTCTCTTAGTTCCTCCTCCCGGCACTCATTTGGGAGTAGTGAAAACACCATTCTGCAAAGACACAGATCCAAACGCGAATTGCAGGTTTGTGTATAACGGTCCCAAAGTGGAAACAGTGCAAATGCTCATCAGTAGGATGGTGGATAAGCAGATGACGGTCCGTGCTCCATTCATTCAGTGACTACTTCTGAGAGAAAAAAGCAAGAAGGATGAACTCCTAACATGGATTTTTTTTTTTTTTTCTTGTACTGGGATCAAATCAAAGCCAGCACCTTTGCATTAAGCAACATCCCCAGCCCTTATTTTTAATTTCTATTTTGACTTAGGGTTTTGCTAAGTTGCCCAGGGTGGGCTCAAACTTGTGATACTCCTGCTCCAGCCTCCCAGAGCACTGGGATTCCATGTGCCACCAAGCGCAACTGTGTGGATGACTCTTAAAACAAAAATTGAGCCGAAGGATCCAAGAAAAATAAAAAAGAATACAGTATGATTCCGTGTACGTGAAACTCAAGAATAAGGAAAACTAACCTCTCATGTTGAAATCATAATACTGGTTGTGGGGTAGGACGGACTGCAGGCGTCACAGGACTTTGGGGGACAGGGGAGAGTTCTTTGTGTTATTGGGGGTGGTGGTCCCACACATTCACCTGTCCTCCGCAGACTGTATACTTAGAGCATATGTACTTCATGCTGTCTAGAGTTTACCTGGTTTTTAAGTACTTTAAGGCCTGCACATCTTCGGGGGCACAGGCCGCTGTGGCTGTTCGGCCCTGTGAGAGCGTGAGCACTGCTGTTGTTTTATGTTTTACGCTCACAGCTGCTTTGGCAGGTCTGTCTGTGTATAATTGGGTTTGTGTGAGGAGTAGAACTCATAAAGACATCCACAGCATAACTTCACTTTTCTTGAAGTCTCAAAAGATGACTTTAAAAGGATTTGTTTTTCTGGATAATATTTATAAAGTTACTGGAAATTTTTTTAATGCTTAAGAAAATATTCTGAGTACAGTGGGTCTTTTTGGGGCAAAGGAGGTAGGATTTTGCATTTTCTAAAACCCCTTCTAATGCTGACGCTCATATAACTTTGAATTTTTGATCCTGTTGTAGCTGAAGTTTGCGCTCAAGACCTACTTTCCTCACCCCTCTCCGGCCCTTGCCCCTGTGCTGCTGCAGCAACCCCGAGGTGAGTGCAGGCCCCTGCCGGGCAGAAGGACCCAGGGGAGGCGTGCTGGCCGACCCCTCCCTCAGCCCGCATCTGTCCCTTGAGAGCCCTGGCCTGCGTATGTCCAAGACCCGCTTTGCTCTTGGAGTCTCACCTTCTGTGGGCTTTGACCTGAGAGTCCGCCCCTTCCCAGGTATGGTCGCTCAGCAGGAGGAGGAGGGAAGGCCTCTGGCTCGCTCAGACAGTCTGCCTCGGACAGCAGGTTCTGTGTTGCTGGTCAGGCCCACAGCAGGCCCGAGCCTGCGGAAACCTAGCCGGGTGACATAGGGCCCTCGCTTGTTTTCCATCCCTTTTGCTCCATGCCGCGTTGTTGCAGAAGAAAAGATGAAATGATAGGGGTGATGCCAAGAACATTTAGGAGAAATGTCACATAATCAAGCCAAGAGAAGGACTTTGAAATAATTTAGTAACATACAGTATTAGACCCCAGCCTGTTCTGGTCTCATTCGCCAACCCTCTTCAGCCGGCCATTGCCTTCATCCATGAACATGTCTGTGAGCCTGCGCCTAAGCAGCATTTCAGACATGGAGAGTAAAACCTGTCTCTGTAGCCTGCGAGCCGTAGGAAAGGCCACACTAACCCAGCAAGAAAGCTCTGCTCCTGACTATGGAAGGTGGAGCTCAGGGAAGAGTAAAGGGCCATCACATTTCCCTTGATGCCAGTTCTGGCCTGCCTTCTCCCCAGGAGCTGAGCGAGAAGATGTCTTCGAGGGGTTCTGGGGATCAACTCAGTGGTGGAGCACTTGCCCAGCATGTGCAGAGCAGTGGGTTCCATCTCCAGCACCACAGGGCCGTAGGTGCAGGGGAGGAGTCTGGTTCCAGAAAGTACATTCAAAGTCTTAGAACACTTCACTAAGTCTAATTCCTCTCGTTCTAATTTTTTTAAAGAATATCTCAGTTAGACCCAGGAGTGGTGGCGCATGCCTGTAATCCCACCACTCAGGAGGCTGAGGCGGGAGGATTGCTATGAGTTCGAGGCCAGCCTAGACTACATAGTCAGACCCTGTCTCAAAAAATAAAAAATAAAAAAAAATCTCAGTTTTCACTTAACGTGACCCATCTGACACTGTCTTCTTAGATGCCAGAGAAGGGATGGTGGTAGCCTCAGTGAGATCTCTGGGTAATGCTTAATACAGGAAAACTTTACTATATTAACGAAACAGAAAGGTCCAGAATGTAGCTCCTGCAGTGAGGTCAGGTAGACAGCCTTGGGTCATCCTTCCAGGGAAGCTGACTGGGCTCCAAAAGTTGGACTGGAGTTGAGATTCCTTAGGTTTAGAAACCTACAAACAAAAGAACGAGTGGTATGCGGCTGGGCGCAGCCTGCCTCCCTTTCTCTGTGTGTGGCTGCTCTGGATGCCAGCAGAATGGGCACTGAGCAGAAGCGCAGCGCCTCCTGTGCTCTTCGCAGAACCATCATCTGCTTATACTGCTTTTGGACAAAACAGATGTCATGTTCGTAAATGGACTTGAGTTTGCTTAGTAAAATCTACTCATCAGAACTTCGTTTTGTGTCTGTGCTGAGGCCTTTGGGGCATAAAACAGGACCCTTCTTGGGCTCTTGCTACACAGGACCCATGAGAAGGGAGAAATAAAAGAAGTACCCCAGTAACTAGTAAAAAGAAGGAAGTGAAAAATGCCTTCCAGAGGCTATGAGTTAGAGTCATGGGAGTTCAAAAGAGCGAGCTGCGGGGAGCCCTGTGGTCTGGAGAAGGGGTCCCCATCCCTACGCTACCTTTCCGGCGTGTCTGATTATGTGACTACATGAAAACCTTTTTCTGATGTTGATTAGAACTGCAGGTACGTGCATGCTCAGAGGTGCTTAAAACCACAGGATAATCGTCAAGCCAGAAAACCTTACTCAGGAAGAGACGTTTGCATAACGCCTGTGTATTTTTTTTGCTCCTGTGTCCTTAACTGTAAACCTGAAATCATATTCTGAATTCATCACAACAACGGACATTTTAAACAGTTGCCCAGTCCACTCCTAATTCCTTTTTGGTGGTTTTAGTACATGTATTTTGAAATCACAAATTACTATAATGGCGTAAGGGGTGCGTGGGTAGAAAAGGCAAAGCCGGGTGTATCACTAACAAGGCAGTTTGAAGTCCCAGGGGGCAGCTTGTGTAGTTGGTATCTACTGCCACGAGCCCAAGTTAAAGACGCTTTGATGTCCACCTCTGGTTAACACTGAGGGACTTTCTTCCCCAGGGTCAGAGGGAGAGCCTGGCTGGCAAGCATGGTGTGGGTTCCACAGACCAGGAAAAAAAAGCATCGCCCCCAAACACTTCCCAGCATAGCTGCAGACAGTTCCAGGTCGGGTTGGCTTTTGCTCAGTCCCACTAACTCCCTCTCTGCCCCACAGACATCCCACAGGACTGCCGCCTCCAGCTTCTGCAGCATATTTCCCAGATGCTCCGAGAAGCAGTGGAAGACCAGGCTTGTGGGTGAGCAAACACTGACCGCTTAAGCCAGCCTCCAGGTGGCTTCCCTCCACCCTCCTCTTCCCAGACAGGTGAGGGCCTTCCTGGCCCTCGCCAGACCGGTAAGCACTGTCATGGCCCAGGGAAGGCAGAGGAAGCGGCTGATATCACATGCTGTGCACGGGCCTGCGTAGAGCCAGCGCTGAGTGAGGTCTTGCTTTAGAGCATAGCGCTGAAAAGGGCAGACCCTAGGAAAACCAGTGTCCACGTGCAGGGGCCCTGGCCACGGAGACAGAAAGGCATCTCTGTTCCGCACGTCGCACCTCTCAACAGAAGGAAACACTGGACTCCTGCCCACTAGAAGGGAATATCCCATATGTTAGTTTTCCTTAACCCCCTTTTTGATATAAATGTTATGCATTGTTTTCTCCCTCCTCTTTAGTAAATATTTCTCCAAAATTAGAAAATCAGTTCTAGCTTAATATCTAGTAGCGTGGTATTCTTTACACATGCTGTCTCCTTATATGTGCTGTCCTCCCTAAACTCACATGCAGGTTTGCTGTGTTCTCCCTTTGGTGTCCTCTGACTCACCCACGTTTACAGTGTAGATGACCTTGTGTTCGTCTCTGCTGGCCTCCTGGGGCTATCTTCTCCGTCCCTCTCCTGACCCTTCTCTCTCCAGACTCTGGTGTCATTTCTGAGCCAGCACAGAGCACTGCGGTACTCTGTGTCGTGTGCACTGACCAAGGGTCTCGATGCCGTTCTCTTCTCCCCTTGGGGTTTTGACCAACAGGGAACAGATGGAGGGGACTGGCAGCCAGATGGGATCAGTGCGCCAGCCACATTAACCGTCTTCCATCGGCCCTGCCCGGTGTCCCTGTGGGAGAGCAGGGCTAGAGCCCTGAGCTCATGCGCTCCTACCCTCTCCTCAACTCGGGGTCCCCTGCAGGAGGCTCTGGGAGGAAGCACAGCCACGTTCCGCGGTTGGTCACATGGATGGGCTGGCACAGGCAGGGCTTGGCAGAAAGAGTAGGAGGGAACGGGGCCTATGCTCAGTGTGAGGTCACCTCCAGGGAGAGCATGGGAAGCCCCCGTCACGCCGAGACATCTGAGCCACCGGCTGTCGGCGTGGCCTTCAAGTTTTAGCTCGACCTGTGGATGAGCTGCTTCCCCTCTGTTGGGGACAAGGAAACAAGGCTGAGATGCCCACCCTTCCTTTTCCTCCCTTGTTCTGCAAACTCGGTTTCAGAACATTTAATCACATGTTCTCAGGAAGGACCCAGACAGCAGGGCCAGAGAGGCGCACAAAGAATAGTGCTTGGAGTGGGGAGACCCCCGGGCCATGCAGAAGGGCGCACGGCAAGTCCCGCCTGGAGGCGCCACAGAGCAACCAACACACTCCTACTGCTGTCGCTCCCCCAGCCAGCAGAGTGCGCAGCCGACGTGCCCTCGGCCATCCCTGATTTCCCAGGGAGGGGTCAGCCTGGTGAGACTGTCTTACCTCGTGTACCCTTTACATAGGACTCACAGCTCCCACCTTCCAGTGGGACAAGGCCTGGCTCGGTAAAATCTCTCCCCTCCAGCGCTGAGTGTGCAGGAGGGTGGAAGAGAACGCTGTGCGTGCTCACTAAAAATTCATCCCTGCTGAACACTGACTGGCACCTGGCATCTTGTCAGAAAGGGAGCGGTACATTTTTGCCTGTGCCCATTTACACCCCGTCCCAAAGGGTAGAAGCCAGCAGCCTTACTTCGGTCCGCATCAGGACTCCCAGAGCCGCCCTTCTTGCTATGCCACCGCCTGGGTGCGCCCCTGTGGCTGAGGCCTCACTCTGCACCTCAGCTCAGTGGCGCATGCTATGTGGAAGGCAGGGCCGCCATCTGGCAGTGCTCCTGCCGGTCACCGCCCCTGATCTCCTTTTCTGGAAGCCTGTACTCACTGAAGGTACCCGGACATAAGGGCTTAACTGTCCCAAAGTCCTCACACATGAATGACCGGTGACTGGTTCCAAGTGGTACTCAGATAAGTTTACTAACTTGTGCTCCTTGTAGACCATACTTTTTTATCAGTACAGTTTAAGGTAGCCATTTGCAAACCTGTCAGTTGCTTTATGAACCAAAAGGAAAGCCAGGCGCAGTGGCACAAGTCTGTAACCCCAGTTAGTTGGGAGGCTGAAGCAGGAAGATTGCAAGCTTGAGGCCAGCCTGGGCAACTTAGCAAGATCCTGTCTCAGAAAACAAGATAAAAGAACCAGAAGGGTAAAGCAGTGAGGTTGTCAGCTGCCATGTGCCTTGGCTCTGTTCCAGGTCCCCCCAAGACCCCTTTGAGAGCTGGTTTTTGTTCATTCACTTTGGAGGCTGGGCTGATATGGCGGCCGAGCAGTTACTGAGGTCAGAAGCGGAAGCCCCTGCAGAAGCGCTGCTGTGGCTCCTGGCCTTCTACTACAGGCCCCTGGACTCCTGTCAGCGGAGAGCGCAGACCATGGTAGGTGACAGGCCCCAGGGGCAGGGCGGCGGCGGGGGTGGTTACCTTTCACTGGCCCCAGCCCCTGAGCGCAGGGCAGTCTAAGAATGGGTGGATGCCTGTGTGGACAGCCACGGATACGCTCCTGCCTCCGCAGCATAGCCTGGAGAGCGGGTGCCACCCTGTGCTGTCAGCCTGCCTCCCTCTTCTGGGACCTTTTCTGTGGCCTTGCTCAGCAGCCATCTGCCCTCATTTACCCAGTGCCCTGCCACAGGCCTCAGTCCCCCGGGGTCCCACGCAGGGCTGAAGCTCCTCCTCGCCAGAGCCCTTGCCCGCTGGTGTCTCTCATTCCCACCTCGGCCTGGCTGTCCCACCAGCTCTGTTCAGCCCTCTTCCTAGCATGATCACATGATGTTAGCCACTCCTTCTGAAAAAGGACTCCGTCATTTTCTAAATGACAGAGCAGCTAACTACAGGATAGGGTAGCGATGGCGAGGGCAGCTGTTACTTTATGTGGGATACAGTAATTACAGGAAGCTGTGCTTTGATTAAAGGCACTGGCACCTCCCTTGCAAACATTTATTTGCTGGTTTTTAAAACTTCAACTGCCAGTGTTTTGGGGCTGCTTTTAATAATTAAAGGGAACAGGTTTCATTATATACAGAACAGTGCTCCTATTTGCTTTGTATTTTCTGTTGTTTAAAAAAGCAGAGACCAGTACAAATGTTTGTATATTTCATTTGTTTAAAAGCTTGATGGCAGGGGAAAGAAAAGTTTTAAATTTTAAAAAGGTGAAATTTAAGGATAATTTTTTGGATCAAAATGAAACATTTTTTGGAAAATTTTTTCATAATCTACATATGTATTGGAGGATTGCTATCTGATTAAAAACAAAGCCTGCTATCCCCTTTAAAATATCACATTAAACTAATTAAGGAAAACCCTAGTTTGTTTTTCATCATCTTATTTTTACAGTAATAATTAAGATGTATGAACCACTCCTGACTTCTAAAGCCCTTTTATATGCATTTCATATTTGATTCTCTATAGACTTAAGTTGGTAAATATGTGTTAAATTCCATGTGGATCATAGACACTGACAAAGAGAGACTTGCTTTTAAAGTACAAAGAAATTGTCCAATAAGATTAAATTTCTAGAAAGTTCTGCTTCGGCATAACTTACTAGTTAACTTGGATTTGTGGGGGGGGGTGTTTTTCTTTAAATAAACCTATGCATAGTTCCTAGTCAGGAGATGCAGAGATGCTTAGGCATCTTGAATAAAAGCGGATTAACACGATTGGAGTAGTTCTTGGCTATCCCATCAGAGGCCGCCATCTGCCCGTGACTGAAGCCAGGGCTGCGTCAGTACTGCAGAGCTGGTTCCTCCTTGGTGCCTGACCTCAGGTGTTGGTGTGTGTGACACCCCAGGAGAAAGCACACCAAGCTCAACTAGTAATAAATACCTCTGTGCCCCTGAGCTTTGTGAGCTATAATCCCTTAAGGGTCTGTGAGGTGACCTTAGAACACACTGTGAACCATGTTGGGAAGTATGATCACTGTTGATTTGATGGACCTTGGACATACCTGGGCCGTGGTGTTATTTAAAAGGGGTAACGAAACCACTCCTGTGGGAATGCCCCGACTGAGGAGCAGGAACAGGGTGGAGGGCATGACGTCCGGTCCCGAGGACACCCGCTGGCAGGGAGGGCCACCTGCTCTGCCATGGTGCTCATCTCCTTTGCTAAGTGAACTGGAGCTTGATGAAGACCTGAAAATGTCTGCTTAGGTACCGTTCAGACGCAGGCAAAGATTCAAACGTTTAACCTTGGCATTCCACTTCTAGGAACCCTTCTGAAGACAGAGATCTACACAAAGATTTTTGAATGGGAATAGTCACTGCAGCATTGTTTGTAATTGCAAATACTGCAGTTTAAAATTTTAATAGTAAGGTGGTTGTCTATATCCTAATCTTAGAATAGCTTTCTACCAGGGGGAAAAAGTCATATTATTGGAGAACACATTCAGTAGTATAGTAGATTGCTCATGGTACGCTGTGAAAAAAAACATGTAAGTTACAAAACAAGTATAGTGAGTAGTGTATTTGCAACACAGAAAAAAAAGCATTATTAACTTATTAACAACTCTTTTGATGACAGAGTTATAGATCATTTAAATGTTTGCTCTTTAATTCTTCCATTGTGAGCATATATAAGTTTATATAATGTACAGTAAAAACAATACTTTAAAAAGAAAACAAAAGAAAGCATTTAAAGTACTGGCATGTGTAGAAGCTTCTGGACGTGGAAGGCCTTAGCAGGAACATCAGTCCAGGACAAAATAGAAAACAAGCCCATGCTTAGGGGCTACTGGACAAGAGTGAAAAACCAAAAGCCAGTGAAGCAGTGGACATAAAGCCACTCTGCAGACCCGATTATACGGACCACAGATGCCATCAGCTGAAGGCAGGCAGGCGCAGCGGGCGTGTGAATGCCCCGTGTTCTGTGGGAGTGCCCTGTGGTGGTGGTTCTCACGGCCTCGCTTGTGGTCCAGAGAGCTCACACAACACCCCCACTGTACTGCTGCTGCGACAGACCACGTGGAGCGAGGCCTTCACTCCCAGGGAAAAGGCAGCTCTGGTCATGGGAACTCTCGGAGCAGGCCTGAGTATTCTTTCAGCAGTGATGGAATATAGCTGTTATGAGTTCCATGTGGCATTTTGGATCTACGGCTTTCAGTTTTTGCTTTGTTTTCCAAGTCACAACTTGATGCACGGTTCTTACAGCAAGCAGAAGTCTCAGCATGAAGTAAATATTTTTTATGCAAAAATAACCCACAGACTTAGAACAATTACCATTATTATGTGAATTCCACAGACTTGTGACCTCTGCTTGAGCTTTAAACATGTATGAACAGATTGTCCCAGTGTCTGAATCAAAACAAAACCGGCTGAGGTGTGTGTGTGTGTGTGTGTGTGTGTGTGTGTGTGTGTGTGTGTCTCCCAAGACGGCAAGGCGAGGCAGAGGCAGGCCCGTATGGCCCTCCCCACACCGGCTCAGCCGAGGCCGCCGCGCTCTAATTGATTTGTGGCCTAGTGTGAGGCAAGTCTTCAAGGAACCTTTTGTTCTGTTTCCCACAATGTAGGAAAAATCTGACTACATTCTGTGGAGGACTTTCCTGTTTCCATTCATTATGAAAAAGGTCAATTCCTGGCATGGTGCCCTACCTGCTTGGTGAGCAAGACGAAAAGAAAGTCAAGAAATTTCCATCTTGCCCACTCGGGTTTGTGAGGAGGGAAATGTAAACTGGGCCTTGGCCACCTTCTTGGGAGCCCTAGCTGCTCCTCTTTCTAGAGCCTGCTTCCAAGCATAAGCAAACACTAGTGGTGGCAAACCTATGGCATGCATCGAAGTTTACCATCGAAAGCACTAAAAGGTTCGCCCTCACTGCGCTAGAGGCCTCTGTGTCCTGGATCTCCCCTAATCTCTCATCCTCGATTCCACTGCCCAGGTGGAGGTGGAGGCAGTGCTCAGCCGCCTCCAACTTCTGACACTGTCCAGAAGCGGCCCCCTCTCTGCAGAGAAGCTGCAGGCTGCCGCTGGAGAGGGCAGCAGTGCAGACCCCGTACCGCCCGTGTGCGGACAGCTGATCAGGCACCTGCTCCTGAACTTCCTGCTCTGGGCTCCTCAAGGCCACACAGTTGCCCAGGAAGCCATCACCCTGGTAAGTGTCCTCTCCGCCGATTACAGTTCACACACACCCAGGTGACAGGGCAGGTAGCTGGCAGGGATCGTGGCTTTCGAGAGCTTGGGCCTGAAGTGCTGCCCCCACATGGGTGAAGGGCCAGAGGGAATGATGGCTGAGACCCAGAGCCTGCCCGTAGAACATCTGCAGGTCACAGAGGATAAGGCGAACGCACAGAGCCAGGAGCATCAGCTCTCAGGCCGCCTGACTTGCTGCGAGGACCTGTGGTAAAAGCCAGGCTTCCTGTCCTTCATCACAGAGCACAGTCTACTCCTCCCCATGGGACAAAAGCAGGCTGTAGTGAGGGTGCACTCATGAGCAGCCACAGCGTGTCTCACGGCAAGAGGCAGACCATGGTGTTTAATTGAAGGAAAAGTTGGTTAATTGTAAAGGAACCTTCCGGAAGCTCGGGTGACCGGAAGGGGAAAGAGTGCTCCAATCAAAAGTGACAGCATTCATGACTTCAGATCTGGCACCAAGGCAACAAAAGGAAAAACAGATAAACTGCCAGTACTGGTCATTAGGGAAATGCAAATCAAATCCATACTGAGACTCACTTCACACCCATCAGTACAGCTATTATCAGCAAAAGGAAAAGAAAAATAAATCTTGCTGAAGTTGTACCAAAATTGGAATGCTCATCCATTTCCATTTGGGAACATGAACGGTGCAGCCACTGTGGAAGTTTGGCGGCTCCTCAGAAAGTTAAACATGGAGTTACCATAGGACAGCAATTCCACTCCCACACATATATCCAGAAGAATTGGAAGCAGGGGCTTGAACAGATACTTGTACACCAATATTCTTAGTGGCATTATACCTCATAGCAAAAAGGTGCTAATAACCCGGATGTCCATCAAAATGAGCTGTGTATGTACAGGGGAAAGCCATTCTGGTGCGTGCTTGAACCTGGAAGTCACTATGCTAAGTAACCCAGCCACAGGACATACACTGTGTAATCCCGCTTACGAGGAACAGAGTAGTCCGATTCATAGTGACCAGAAGTAGACTGGAGTTCGCTGGGGCTTGGGGGATGAGGAGTTAGTGGCCTTAAGGGTACAGAATTTCTGTTTAGGAATATGAAAAAGTTCTAAAGATGGATGATGGTGTGGTTACACAACACTGTGGACATCACAGAACTGGACTGTAACAGTGGTTAGACTGCAAAGTGTGTGCATATTTTACGTATTTTTAAAAAAGGTGGGCACCAACATCACTGGCTTTGGGAGTTTTATTTTTGGTTTCGTTTCTACTTTTTATTGACATAAATACAGAAAATATACAGTTGATGAATTTTTATAAATGAAAACCACCCGTGGGGCCAGTAGCTACATCAAGAAAGGAATATTCGCAGAGGCCCCCGCTTGTCTGAATGTGAGTACAAGGGAAGTCCCGACACCTGCCAAGAACCTGAGAAAACCAGTGCACAAGATTGTCATGGGGATAGTGGCGTGCAGTAGGCTAGTGCCACCTTGTGCCGTGGGGTGGCGGAGGGCGGAAGAAGACTGCACTGTCAGGCCGGCACGGGCACAGCAGGGAGTGGACTCATAAAGTGGACACCTGTGATAACACAGACAAGCCTGGAGAACAGGACTAAGTGAAATAACCAGACATAAAAGACCGATTCTATATGAGCTCACCTGAACATGAAACCTGAAACAGTCAAACTAACAAAGCAGAGAGGGGGCTGGGCACGAGGAGCCAAGGAAGGGAAGCGGAGGGGTCTGGGTCGAAGGGCATGGCCCTGCAGTCGTGAGTATATCCTGGAGGCCTAAGTACGACATGATGACAAGAGCTATTAATAATTTATACTTGGAGTTTGCTCAGAGAAGATCTTACGCATTCTCACCACACACAGCCATACCTTCCCCACAAACTATGGGAGGTGGTGCTGGATGTGTTAATAACCTCAGTTATGGGAACCTTTTCATCATATAATATACGTATATCAAAATACCAAATTTATATATGGGGGGTACAAATCGCCACACATAGCAATGCAGAATAATAGAAAGGTGTAAATAAGAAAAATCTCCATACTTGAGAGGTAAAAGTGTCCATAGAACTTGGTATCAGCAGCTACTCTGCTGACCGTGAGTTACAGCAGCCACTGTAGATGATGGAGGTTAACATCCATAGGGCTGAGGCGTTTTCACTGTGTGAACCTGGAGACAATGTTTTAAAAACGGCACTTTATCATTGTGGTCTTTTCCCAAAAACCGATAGCCGAGGTCTCATAGGAAAAACAGTAGACAAACTCCAGTTGAGAGACAATCAACCAAAGTCCTACCAATGTGCCTCAAACCATCAATCAAGGTCATCAAAGCAAGGAAAGTCTGGGAAACCGCCACACACAGCCATCGGCAGCTGAAGGAGGCGAGACGGTTAAGTGTCGCTTATGGCACAAGGGCTGCGGATGGAACCTCAACCCTGCTGCTGGGATGACACCCTGTGCCTCCTGCCCCACTCACATCCTGTGTCCCGTCCCCTGTGAGTACTGCAGCCCTGGCCAGGATGAGAGGCCCCTCAGACACCTGTGTCCCGCTTCAGTCATTCCAGCCAGTTCCAGCTAGCTGGGCAAACTGTCCTCATGCAAGGTGGCCACCCACAGAGAAGCCGCCGGGTCCCACGACCGAGTTCCGTTTGCTTCCCCACCACACAGCAGTGCTGCTGACCCGAGCATGGGGCTCGGGAATGCGGGCACCCGGAGCCTCTCCAAAGCTCTCGCAAGGCAGTTCAGCTAGAGTGCAGCGGGGAACCTCATCAGAGGAAGCGGCGCCGTTTCCTCCACAGCAGTAGGAGCCCTGTCGGGCCACTGCAGCCGGACGCCCTAGGTTGCATCTGTGCAAGTATTTGGAATGCCTTTACTAACACACAAGCCTTCCCAGCAAGGAGACCTGGCTATGGTTGCCAACATGGCCTGGGCAGGTGGCTCCTCCACCCTTGGGCTTCTCCTCACCGCATGGCACCGGCTGGTTCCTCCCTGCTGTGAGCCCTGGTCTGGCCACCTGGACCTTTAGCAGTGGGTGTCACATCTCAGGGCCCCCGACTGAGCTATGAGCTCGGAGGGCGCGCGGAGTTACCTCCGGGCCTGGTCTGCCCTGAGCTGAGCTGCACTGGCTGCCAGCAGGCAAGATGCCCCGTGGAAGGCACAGTCACTGTCCCTTTAGAGCCCTCGGGCCACCTGCCCTGCCTCAGAGGGCGCCACTGAGGTGGTGGTCGCCCCGGCCGAAGCACAAGTGCGGAGAACAAGAGGAAACTAACCTGGGGCTGCTCTGGCTGAACACTGCGGCTCTGTATAAACACACACGAAACGCATGTGTACATTACTGTTCCGTAAACTTGGGGCTTCTTAATGTGGCCTGTGCCCACCCCAAAGAACCGGTAAATTCCATGCATAGCTAACTTGGGAGATTCTCTCCCCTCCCTTTTTTCTCAACTGAAGTTCTTAGGAAAATACAGGCACCAACAAATAAGAACCCCTTGAGGCCGGAGTTAGCAGAACTAATAATGCCTGTTTCCTGCTTGCCTGCAAGAATCAGGTGCTCAAACCTTAGATGTCTTCTGAAAAGCACGTGGGCGGGCTTGCTGCCCAGGAATGCCACTTGTCAGCTGTCTGTGTGCAAACAGGTGCTGCTTTCCAATTCTCATGGTAGTGTGAGCCCTTTGCAGAAAATCAAGCCACAGCATGCTTTCTGCCTTCGCCCCGTAGGGCAAATAATCCCCAAAGTTGTGACTGACATTTCAGAAACGCTCCTGTCTCTGCAGCGCCGTTTGACCCTGTGAGCCCAGGGTTTGGCCTCAGAGCCTTGATGTGGGGACGGTGGTCACCACACTGTGCCTTCGCTCGCAGTACAGCTGGCCTCCGTGAACAGACTTGCTGTGCTCACCACCTCAGAAACAGAACGCTGGCCCTGGGGACTTCCCTCGGGAGCTAGTGGGAATGCTGCGGCCTTCCGGGGCGGGATAGTTAAGGGTAGCCAGGGGACAGAGAGGAATCTGCTGGAAGGTGTCTGAATTTCCCTTCTTCTCCCTCACTGCAGATGGCCTGCACTGATGAGATAACTCACGAGATCATTGGCTTTCTTGACCGGACCCTATACAGATGGGATCATCTTTGCACCGAAGCCCCTCGGCCAGCAAAACTGGCCAGAGAGCTCCTTCAAGAGCTGCAAGCTCGGGTCTAGCAGGGAGCGCAGACCGTGTGGATGCTTGGGGCACATGGGAGTGCCAGCCTTGCCAGCTCCACAGACGATGGATGTGGCCACTCCTGCCCGTGGCACAGGTTTGTGGACCAAGTCCTTCGAGCCGTGAGATGAGCTGCACACATCTCAGGCTTGGGCCGGGTAAAGGGTTGCGATGATTGGGTGGTACAGACTTTACAGAATGAGGAGCCGTGTGCCTTAGCTCAGACTTAAACCCACTCACCAATAGCCGCTATGCCTTGGGAATTCTTTCCCTGCCCAGCCCAGGATGTCAGTGACTTAAGGAGGAGGACAGATTCTGTTTCTTTTTGACATGTATCAAGCCAGAATGTATAACTATCGCTTGAAAATGCTGGACCAAGAAATTGATCTTGAACCCCTGGTAATTCTCCATAAATTACTTTTTAGGAATCGAGTGGTTGTAATTGATGTTTCTTTTCATCCTCTGAGATCTAAGACAAAGACACTGCCTTGCTTCCCTAAGAAATTCTTCATCCACGAGTCAGGACCCCTCAGCTTTTCTTTTACCCGCAACCTGCCCAGTCAGACAGAGAGAACAAGGTAGCAAGTGGGGCTGACAGGCCGCTGGGGTGCGGTGCAGGGCAGCCCCGACGGGGACAGCGCCACGCTGTGAAAGGAAGCCGGTCCTGGCCTGGTGCTCTCCTTTGTTTACTGGCTGTTCACCGCCACCAAAGAGCTCCTGCTGCAGCCCAGACTGCGGCCAAGGGAGGTAGCAGGCCCAGCCCGGGACCGCGTCAGAGCCCGCAGCAAGGGTTGGCGTGTGTACCAGTTGTGTCATTAAATGGTAAGGGGAATTCGAAATGCCTAAGAAAGAATTGGAAACCTCAAGGTTAATATTCATTCACATCAGCTGAAGATCTTTTTCCCTTCGGATTCACTCATGTCTTGTATTGCTCATACGCTATATATCCTGTATATTGTTCGTCAAATGAGTCAAGTATGTCCATTTGGATTTCTGTATTAAGAGTCTCTGAACCTTTGCTCCTCTTTGAGGAATAAGTAATGTTTTGTGGGACTAGAGGTCAAGCTTTAGGGGAATTATCTGTGTTGGTGTAAGGCAGTGTAATGGATCCCCCGCAGATGTGGAGAACACCAGGAACTGCTGACCTGAGCCTTCCCCTTCCATCTGAGAAACCACCCTGCCCACAGCCCCTTTCCCTGAGGTGCTTCCTCAGCGCGCTCCGCTGCGGACAGGCTCGCGCCTCCTTTGAGCTCAGCACGCCTCTCGTAGGCTCAGTGTGAACCGAACCCTGTTACTGCCATGGAAACTGATCCAGCACTGTGGACATGAGAAAAGAGGCTTAATTTGGTGGTGGCAAGTAACCCCTAACAACCAGAGCCACTGGGAGTGAGCCCTCCCTGCGGGGGCGGGGAGCCACAGGGAAGTCCGAGCACTGGCCTCGCCCTCGCCGGAACTCCCTGACTGCCCACCCCAGCGTTCACAGCAAACAGTGGAAGGTGGCGGTCACCTGCCTCAGGCTGTTCAGGCTGCCTGCTGAAAGCTTCTTCCTGTTCGGCGCTTCACATCTCCTAGTCCATTACAACGTTTCTGAGTCTTCCCAGCTTTGGAGTTTGGGCTGTAGCCGATGGACTTCCCTGGGGGATCCCATCCCTAGTGGACCCTCCCTGTCCACGAAGGCTTATTTCCGGGGAGAGCAGACATTGACTTGGTGACTAATTTTCCCCATTTTGCCTTCTCCCATCTTGACAAAGGCACCAGTGGTGCACAAGAGAGGGACGTGCCTCCCAGCAGGCGTCCCTCTAAGCAGGTGACCCTCTAAGTGGGCCCCGGGTCCCCAGGAGGCCTCCAGGCTGGGAACAAGAGGGCGGGTGTGGAGCAGTGCCCCTTCCCCCCAGAGAACCAGAGGCAGAGGCCTTCCTGCGTGAGCCCAAACCTAGTGAAGGCCAGGAATCTGGAGTGTGCTGAAAATTAGTAAACTCTACCTCCTCCTCGGTTGCCTTAGATTCAGGAGGCAGTCTGGACCCGTGAGTTCATTTCCCAAAACTCTGAAGTAGCAGCTTGCCTAACCTGGGTGAGAAGGTCCTATAGGCAGTGGCGCCCCGTTCACAAGTCCACGGGAGTAGGGCCCACAGCGGCCGGTGCCTCCCTGGTCACACGCCTTCCTCGGCTCTGGAAAACATCATCCTGAGGTCTGAAGAAGTGGAAGGTCTCAGATCCGTGTTGAAAACCTCATTGTCGCCTGCTGATTCACAACATGGTTAACTCACGGGTACTGGCAATGGGTATCCGCCAGAGTTCGGCAAGAGCGCGTGGCAAGTCAGCTGGGATGATTAAGAGGGTACGTCAAAGTGCAGGGTCCTTTGAGGCGGCCCTGCCACGTGCCAGCTGGTTAGCAGCCACCACTGAGGCCAGCAGCCCAGACCCTTTGCAACTGGCTCCAGCAGGAACAGAGGACCCTGGATGGGTCCTTTCAGAGAGCCTCTCCCTCAGCACATCTGACAGGCAGCCCAGATCACCAAGTTTTTACTGCAGCTATGAGGGACGCTCTCAAAGTCTGAATTTGGCTTGATTATGCAACAGTGATGGTGCTGGATACCTTAGATACCATGGAAATACCAGACGGGATCAGCTACTGGGCAGAGATGCACAGTATTCTTTAAGACTGCTCTGAGCCAGGTGTGGTGACACATGCCTGTAATCCCAACACTCTGGGAGGCTGAGGCAGGAGGATCACAAGTTTGAGCCCATTCCGGGCAATTTAGCAACCGTGTCTCGAAAATAAAAACTAAAGGGGGAGCCATGGGGAATGTAGCGCTAGTGTGAAGGCCTCAGGTTCATTCCCCAGTAGCACAAAAAAGCAAAAGCAAAGCAAGACTGCCTGGAGCATTTTAGAAGCTTGAGTCCCAGAAAAAATCTCGACACTCAGCAACAGAACAAGAACAGGCAGAGGTCAGCACTGGCGGGGAGCCGTTTGCCAGCGTCAAGCCGGGCTTCCCCAGTGCGCTGCTCTGGTGCTTGGGGCCCCACGGGTCCCCGCTGCAGGCTGCTGGCCTCCTTGTTGGTGCCAGAAGCACCCGAGTGCTGTTTTCCGGACGGCTGGGAACCACAGCTCTGACGAGGAGTGACACGGGCTGGACAGAAACTCCTGCTGTAGAGATAGAAAGTGGACTGAGTGAGCTGCTGTAAGAGAAGTGGTCTGTCTGACTCTGAAATTCACACGGAGAGCAACACTGAGGAGCGGCCAGAACAGTTCTGCCGGCTGCGTGCAATGACTATACCACACGCGGGCCTCTGCGAGTTCGGTGCGTGTTGTGAACACGAGATGGGACTGAGAGCGTGACAGGACGCTGTGCCTGTTGAGGTCCCCAGTGCCCCGCGCTCCCGCCAGCAGCACCGCCGCCCCTCCCTGCCGCCTCACTTTCCAGGGCCGCACTCGGAACTCTGTGTCTCCAACTCTGTGTCCTCCTTTTGCTCACTTTTTCCTGGACTCTGCGCTGCCTGTGCCCTCAGCGTCACCTCTGTGCAGAGGGGCCATAGCTCCCCAGGGGCGCCAAGCGGAACATGCATCCCCAGCCAGAGGCCTGACGGCCATCTCGAGCTCGACGCGTCCCACACTGACCCCAGACCACACAGGCGCCCCATGCCACTGACCGGAGCTCTGTCTTTCCGGTGATGCAGGCCAAATTGTGCCGTTGCTGATTCCTCTCACTCCCCTCCCCGCCGCTCCAGTCCACTAGGAAACCCCCAGTCCGACCACTTTCCACCCCCACTATTTACGTGATCTCCTGCCCAATAAGTGTCTGTCGAGTGAATATATACGGACACGAGTTTGGTATAAATGCATTTCAGTCAGCCGGGGAGAGACGGTGGGAAGTGAATTTGAATCTCTACTTCTTAGACCCAAATAAACATTACAGAACAAAGTGCCCAGGCCTCTTTCTTTGCCCAAGGTCAGTGTCAGTGTCGCGGTGTCTCCTGGGAAGGCGGCAGCAGTGCTGCTTGGGAAGACACGAGAGGGGTAGAGGGGCTGCTCCTGCTCTGGGACGATAGTATACTGGGAAGAGAAAAGCTCATACCATTAGAACTTCCCTATCATCATCTCATTTGCAAGCAGGTTCAGATGACCCCTGCCTTCAGCCCTGGCCTGTTCCCTGTAGAGCCACCCCTGCCTGGGCGCGAGAGCCCAACGCTCCGAGCAACCCGGGGCCTCAATGCCTCAGGTGTGATGCCACGCAGCCTCAACGCATCTCCTCAGTGCTGGACCTGAAGGCTGCAAGGAACCCTTCCCATACACAGTGCAAAACTAAGAAACCACAGGAGAGACTGATGAAGCTAGCCACACAGACGTAGCGCCATAAGTACATGTGGCAACCTGGGGAAAACGTGCAACACAGGACAAAGAGCTGATTTTCCACCTTCTAAGCCTCATCTCCAAATCAGTTAAGAAAAAGGCCACCAACATGAGACTTATGGGCAAGGGACACAAATCCTGCAGACAAGTAATAGGAGAAATACAAACAGCTTTGAAAAGACTTGTAAATGACAGCTGAGAAAGTTCTGCAGACGGGTGGTGATGTTAGAGCTATGCAATAATGTGATTGGATTTAATGCTGCTGACTTATACAGTTGAAATGATTAATTTTGTTATGTATAGCATAATAAAACACTGAATAAAGTTTCCAAAAATTTACGTATCTTTTCACTCTCTAAAAAAAACCTCCATGCTTCAGGACCCCCCATTTCAGATTGGTGGCTCCCATCATAATGAGGAAATCTTGGCATTTTCCTGACATATCTGCACACGGAGCACCCAGGGTTATTTATTGTAGCATTGTTTCAATGACCAACCGGAACTGGTGCTGGGCTTCTTTGATAGAGACTGGTTAAACAAGTAAATAAGAGAGCGAGAGGAAACACACACCTTCATGCTCCAGGCCAGGTGCTGACAGGGGAGAGGAGAAAGAGATGAAAAAAGAATTAGTACGCATGAGCACCAACTTCCACAGGAATGTAATCATCATGTACTGCAAAGATGAATAAATACAGCATTTAAAAAGCGTCTCACACTAACTTGGACGGCGGCCCTCCTAGAGACGAACGCGCAAACTGCAACTCAGAACCCACTTATTCATCACGAAGTGCCAACACTGCAATGAAACCTGAACGCTGAGGTTTTAGTTTAGAAAAAACAACTCATACATTAACCCTTATTGTCTTAAAAACAACATACGTGCCACAGGTTCGATACCACTGCACCCACTCATTCACACAGTTACACTTTACATGTGAGGAGACAACGCACAGAGAGGTCAAGTGACTTGCCCAAGGTCACGCTGATGCCATTTGGCACCTGAGCAAAGAGAGCCAACAGGAAGCCGTCACTCTCAGGTTATGAGACACTCATGCAGTGTTCCTGTGGACCCCCAGCTCTG